AATGGAAGCACCCATATGACTAAAATGAAAAAAAAAGAAAAAAAGATAACGCAGTAACTCTTCAATGATCAATGCATGACGTGAACTTAAAAAAAAAAAAAAAAAACAAACGTTTCAGATGTTAAGCTAACCAAAAATATTTATTAGATTGTCTTAAAAAGTAGCAAAGCATTGCGGCGTTCAATTTAATACTGCAGCAAATGCTTATGTGTGAGTATTTCCGAAGCGCGATCCAACTCGGTCCGGCAGCAAAATTAGAAGCATTCTTTTCAAAATGTTCATGTACAGCAATAACTGGACTACTGAGGTCCACGTTTAAACCGGACTGGTTGTTTACAAAGCTACCGTTATTTACTTATTGTACCAACTTTTCGTTGGGCTAACTAAGACTTCGAAATTTGAGCTACAAATGCAACCATTGGGACTTGTTTCAAAATTTCAAATGTCTACCATAAGTTTTGTCAGCGTGACCGCTATAATAAAAGTTCATCATGAACATATGTGTATACTTCCTAGCCTCTGGTGTGCTACCCATCCAAGAAAAAGAAACATCTAGTATGTAAATATTTTCGAATGATGGGTTAAAGAACCAAAAAAAAAAAAACCTTAAAATGAAAAAATGATAAAAAAAAAATTTTTTTTTTTTCTTCAACGAAATCAGGAATACATATATATATATATATATATATTTTTTTTTTTTTTTGTAAATTTTTTTGGCATGCTTTTACGCTTGGGTTTAATCAGTGCCGCTTAATTATATAAAATTTTTTTTTTTTTTTTTTACCATTTATTGATAAGGAAAAATTGTGTATGCAGAAGAAATCAAAGTTTAATTTCACATTAACTAAAAAAAAAAACGCTTAATGCGTTGATATGTTTGTGAGAAAATTACTCTTTTTGTAACCAACAATTTATAAATAAATAAAATAGTTGTAGTTAAGGAAAATCGGAATAAAAAATACTATAGTAGACCACGGCCCAACACAAAGCTGCATGCTGTTTGTTACTCATATAACGACTTTTCAAAACGAGTTGTTATTCGGTAAGCAGTCCGATTCAAACCACTTCCAATAATGCACGGCCTTGAGTCAAAACACATCAGTGTACCAAATTTCATCTAAATATTTCAAAAATTGATGTCTACAGGTTGAACACAAGCATAGAAACGGGACAGATGGACAGACAAGCTTTGATCTACTTAGAAAGTGAATCTGAAGCAATAAAATGTAAATGTATTTTAAGTCTTTCTAGATCAAGCAAAATATATATAGGTTTATAGGTTTAGGATGCCCACACTCACTATATGTTTTTCGCTCCACAAGTGAACTGTTTAAAAAGAGCACAATACTGTCATAGGCACACTCCCTTTTTTTATAAATGTGTTTGGTCCATTTGCATTGCATATTATTTTATTAACGATCTTTAGATAATGTTCATGACATACTCGTCATGGCCGATGATGAGCGTGCTATAATAGTTTACTTAAAGTCCATTTTTGTCAAAATGACGGCTAAACCGGAAGCATAGAAATCTTCCCAACCTTATCTAAAGACAATACACAATCTGTGTACACTTAGTAAGCAAGTAGAGTAAGAGACTAATTCTGCATTGAAATTGCAAATGGCTTGCGGGTACAAAATTCTTAAGACCAAGAAGTCCTATGCGGTACGAAGTGTTTGTTTGTAAGGCGTGCGTTCACATAAATGGATTACATTCACTTTGTGAAATGTTGCAAGCTAAAGCAAAGCTGTCCATATCGCGTTGTCAAAATCCTTTAGACGACAACTGAACCTTAAATTTTCACTCAATTAGATTTCAATTGCAGAAGGTTGCCAGTTGTTTTGGCCAATGTTGAGACTAACTCCAATGGCAAAATGTCGTAGTTGATTAAAATGTGAAATTTCATGATAATAGCGATAAAGATTGACTGGCGAAGCCCAGAGCAAAGAATGTCTTAGAAACCAGATCACATTCCTTTGTAGATATTTTGTAGTTTTCAATATGTTTCCCACTATTTCGTTACTTTCTGTGTATACGGCATCTATTTTGTTTTGCTTATGAGAAAATGCACTGCAAATTCATATACTTTCCTTTTGTATTCAAATTCAAGTTAAACTTATTACAGATCACGGATGTTAGCGAATACGTTCTTAAAATTATGGCAAAAACGCCCCGCGCTCCACAACTGAGCCATATATATGCTATGAACCAAAAAGAATATAATAAATGATCGCTCGCGAATTTTGCCTACAGACCTACGCATAGAGATTGAAAAAAAAAAAAAAAAACAGGAAAAATCGTTTATCTGCATCAACCCAGCCCCGGGTTAAGTGATGTTATTACTTGAAATGCTTGAAACGTAACCTTAGGCAATAAAATAGCTTTTAAATGTTCAATGTTTTTTCTATATTTATTTAATTATTACAAACTGGTCTATTGCATAATATTAAGATAAAGAAAGGGCTTTTATTTTTGTAATGTAATTTATAGATATTTAAACAGAAATATATTTCAAAAATAATGATCGTCTAATAAAATTGATTAATTTATTCATTCATTTAACAAAGACAAGTAAGAACATTATGATCGGATAACGTCGACTACTACATATTCTACATCCATGCGTCTAATAAAGTTAATCATTCGGTTTTGTGATAATATCACGGTGTTTGCGTTAATTTCGATAGGCGCCTTCTACAGGTGAAAACAATCTAAAAATGGGAAATGTTTGTGTAAATAATAGTTGAATGGACGATGATTTTGACCTTCCTCTACATAAAATAACCCTTTCCCCTTCCAATATTATTGATTTATTCGGCTTGCGCCGATGCTAATGCTTGTGGAGCGTTCAAAACTCTTCTTCTTCCAAATTCATTACTTTTGTTGTTGATTTAAAGAAATCTGCTACCGAAGCGCATCAAACACCTTTCAAAGTTTATCGTGATGCTGGTCCATCATATACCAAGACTCAATTTGGCAACAATCGATGTTCTCGACCGTAATCAAGGATATATATCAGAGATATCAGTATTGAAGAGCTCACTTGGGTTTTTTTCAGAGATTGTTGAAATAAGTCACAGAGTCGAAATTACTTTCATAAGATCACGATAAGCTTCAGACGTCACTTAGTAAAATTTGTTTAAAGCAGAAGCTAATTGAATACTTGAGTAGGACAAGCATTGAATATTGATTTTTTTTTTTTTTTTATTGCTATTTCTTGTGAGTTTGAAGATGGACGCATTAACTTTGCTTAATACCGTAATGATATAGCAAAAAAGTACAAGAAATTTCGTTGTTAACCATAATTAGTACATAAGTTTATAATCTATAACTGGAAGTTATTGCCGAATCCTCGCTGTATGCGAATTCGTTTCGTGATTTTTACTATGACATCAAAGAAATAAAAAAAAGATTTGCTTTAACTACTACAATTGCAAAAGAATGTCATAAGCGAACTCGATCTAAACATTGACGAACGCCTTTCATGGCCTTATCGGCGTTATAAAGTGTTCTAGGTAAACGTTCATGTGAGTGAGGAAGATATCACATTCCGGTCCAGTGAAAATTACCTGAACAATAATAATATATAAAAACAATATATATGCTGAGAAATCGTGCTTTAGCAGGAAAGAGGTTACATTGCTAACTTGGGTAGTGAGTTTGTTCGATTTTTCATATTAGAGCGCTTGATATCATCACGATTCACGGTAATCCGATGCCAATCAGAAACTCAACCAAACCCTTAGATTGTAAGTTGTGAGTTCATGGCACTTTTGTTTTCTTGCCTGGAAGTTCAATTGTCAGTTGAAAAATTCGCCGTAATAGATAACGAAAAGTTGGAACAAAAAATACTTCAGCGATGGGATAAAGGCTTACCTTGAATCAATTTTGAAGGCTTTCTTATAAATTTTGACGATAGATGAAAAGAATGTTATATAACTAATATTTCCCGGTACATCTTTGACAAAATAATATTAACAAATTTTTACTATTACGAGGGCTTTTGCATTAAAACTGTTGCATTCCCAAAGCTGATAAAGAAGGTTGGCTGGCTTTCATCATTTATCAGTTATCCGTGGGGAAGACCTTGATTGCGATTACGGAAACATTATACTTTGCATTTAAATAAAATTATTGCAGATAATTTCAAGCATTCAATCTCAGTCAAGCCTTTGGAATCATTCACATATACTTTATCTAGAAACGGCAGAGCGAGAAAAAAAAAAAAAAACGGAACGGAACGGAACGGAAAGTTGAGCATTTATCAATATATAGGAAACTATTTTGATAAGATGAACTGACTTTCTTTTACTTTAATATCATTGCTTATCTATCCAAACGTTATTATGTATTTATTCCCTCAAATAATGGTTTCCTCTTATCTTCTTTTGTTTTATTTAGTTACTAAATACAGTCAATATTCATAAACGATAAAGTGCTTGGACATTTTAATGTGATTAATTTTTAATTTCAAGTTTTTCTTTTGCTTTAATTTATTTGAACTTAAAAAACAAAACAGAAAATACAAAAGACACACACACACACACACACACACACGCTTTTAAACTCTCTGCTTTGATCTAGCTAGCGACCATCACTGATGTCGACCGATAAAGATCGAGAAATTTCATGTCATGTAAATATCGATCGATCTTCTTAGCCTCACCATTGACCATTAAGATTGCATTGTGCAATTTCGAGAGTCTTTTAAGCTTTTGCAAGCAAGCAAGCAAACTCAAGCCCGTTAATCTTTAGAACGCTAGCGTTGAGCACAATTTTGAAATGTAATTTAATGAAAACAGGTTCTACTGGTTATTACGAAAACGAATCCAGACAACTTGAAATTAAATATAATTATTTAATTTTTTTTTTTTTTTTTTTTTTTTTGCAATTGTTTTCCATGTGTTTCAAAATTTATATAATGACGACACTCTTTACGAATATTTTGCTTTTATTGTTTTTCCTTTTTTTTGCCCTCTTCTTTCTTAGGTTTTACGTACCTGAATGATGTCCGGTATCGTCATCATCAGCCTCATCATCGCCATCGCCTACTATCAATTGAACACCTTGGTCACCTTTAACGCTAGTCGTGTTGCTGCCACAACTGCTATCCATGTGACACGACCCACCACCATTCCCTTCTCCGGTTGTAGCTGAATTTTGGGTATTATCTTGTGTTAATGTATCCGTAATGGTACCCGAGGTGTTTGAACAATTTTGCGAGTTTCCATCACAAGCTGATACGTCGCAAATTTTAAAGCGTTCTCGTATCAATTCGGTACAACGATCAGCACGAAAATAAGAATCCAATTCGTCCAAGGTCAGCGGACAGACATCATATTGGATGTAGAAATCTTTGCCCCAGCTACCCGAACAGTCGCCGGAACCTGAAGCAGATGTTAAATGGGAACCGTGCATTTGCTGTTGATGTTGCGAGGCGATTGATTTAAGTAAAGAATTGCTACGCGACAGTTTGGTTGAATGAGCGCGACGTATAAAACTTAATGATTTTTTAGCGGGTGACGTGATCTGATGAGGATGTGTAGGATAGGACGAAGCCGAAATTGTTTTCTTAGAAGCAATTGACGGACTTAAGGATTTATCGTTTACCGAATTAACCGACGGTGGTGTTGTACTAAGTTTCGGTGTAGATTTCAGTAAAAATAAATTCTTAGGCGGAAAGGCAGAGGTTAATATGATGTTTTTACCGTTTCTCGAAGATTCCTTATTTAAACTAGCGGCTGTACTGCCACCAAAACGTTTGGAGCTAGATATGGCTTGACCAGATTGTTGTTGTTCACTATGACGAAAGATTTTTGACGAGTTTTCTTTTGCATCCAAAGCTTTGCCCTGCTCTAAAACAACTGATGGTGTCAGATTTTGCGGTAAGGTTTTCGATTTAATGCGCAAAACCGAAGAAGACGATGTGGGTAACGTAGTCGATGACGCTATATTGCTTGGGATAATAATGGTGGTGTGTATCGATGTTTTACCCGCTGCTTTAGTGCTATTATTGTTAGAGGAAGCATTAGTGTTAGTGGAAGCTTTCAAAGTTACTTTACTAATGACATTTTGCTCAGAGCTTTGCTTCAGTGTCGAAGAGGAGGGCACCGATAAGATATTGGTGCGCGAGCGTGACTTCATCATTTTTATCGGTGTCGAAGTATTAGTCTGTATGCGACTTATCTCTGAATCATCTTCGTCATCAAAATCGCCGGGTGTGCTGGTTACAGTACTATTTGCGCTAACACTACTACTACTATTACCTGCTTTTCCTTTGGGAGTTTTATTTAATATAACTATTGTCCTAGAACTCGGTGACGAACTGCTGCTAATCACAATATCATTATCTTCATTGAATTGTGTTCTAGGTGCTGGCAATGGCCATTTACTGTTAATTTTTTTAACCTCTTTAACTCCTGCTTCTGATAAAGTCAGCGAACTAGATGAGTTTCTGGGCGTCGAATTTTTACCACCGGCTTTGCTAGTTTCTTGTTTTACTTGTTTGTCAGAAGAACTCAAAGAAATTAAAGAATTTCTAGGCGAAGACATTGAAGAATTCTCATCTAAATTAATATGATTTAATACCAATCCGTAACGTTTAGTCTTGGCTGATTGTTGAGTCTGGGTCCGTTGCTTAGGTATGGGTGTGGACTGGGCTGCCAGAAATGTAGAACTCTTATTACTTGTTGTCGTACTTAGCCTTTGCCCATTAGTCGACGTTTTATTATATTTTCCTGTTCGTTTTGTAACATTCACGGAACCTGAAGATTTTTCCGTGCTACTTGTAGATGGTTTAATAGATTTATTTTTGTTTAAGTTAGAAGTACATTCCTGGGAGTCGCTATCTTCTTCAAGGTCTGCGGTAACACCATCTGTCACTCCTGACAAACTCCAATTAAAACCACAAGGTGGAGCCATTTTTGCTGAGGACTTGCTAGAATTGGAACCGCTACGATAACCCGAAGACGTAGAAGAACCAGTCGATGAAGTTGTGCTAAAGCCTAAAGTACTATTCGCCCTTTCAAACAGCAAAGTTGTCACTTTTACGGAAGTGGTAGTTTTGCGTGGCGAATCCGTATTCACCACAGCAGTTTTTCCTCCACTTTTTGTGCTTAGAGATTTTTTCAAATTATGATTATTTGAATTTTTGAATTCTTTGCTATTACTATTCGAACTTGATAAACTGGCTTTATTCAGCTGCAAATTATCTACCGGATTATCTTTGTTCTGCACGGAAGGTTCGACTTCGTCTTCGATTACTAGTGGCACGTAGAATGTCGAGCGACGTCTTTGTGTTTTCTCTTCCAACGAGTTCGGAGTAGTCGGAGTGCTAGGTGTCACAGGAGTAGAAGCTAGCGAAGTGCTCGATACCGTTAATGATCGCGCAGAGTTATCCAAAGTTTGCAACATTCTGATGCTCTGATTTCGAACATTTAGAATAACTTTCTTATGTGAATTAATTTTTTTTTTTTATTTACTGTTTAACCTCAGATTAATATTTCTATAAAACATCTTTTCTAGCAAGTTGGCCGCTTTCACGCAAATCTGGCAACACTTTTGACATTAACAAAAACCAATCATTCATTAACACTTTTTCTCCTTTCTTATATATATATATATATATATATAATATTATTCTTTAAGATTTTCGATTTTCTCAAACTTTACACATTGGAAGAGCAATTATTATTATTATTACTATTATTATTATTATTTTGAAAGCATTTCCTAATTTAATTTTTTGAAAGATTTACAGCACACTTGAGCACAAATTTTCTTTATTTTTTTTAATTTGATTTCTGTGTTAATTTGTTTTGACATGAAATCCTCTTACTGTGGAAAGAATTCTCCTCTGCAACGAATGAACATTCAACACTTCTGCATTAAATTAATGACAACAAACACGAAACATAAAAGCGTTAAACATATCCAACAAAACTGGCCAAACAACTTGTTCAAGTAACTAGGACCAGTAGCAATAACGCTTAAAGTAACAAACATTTGAATCGTTTACTTAGCAAAGAAAATTGAAAATTATTGCAGATTTTTTTTGTAAATATTTTTATTTATATTTTATTAAAATTTACTTTTCTTTTTATTTTATACTTTGCCCACTTTTCCAAGCATACATTCCTGCTCCGCAATTTAAACTCCTCTTCATGAATAATCGCGCTCAACTGACTACAAAAGTTCTATGAAAAATTGTATCTAAAGTTTCGCTCACAATGTCTGATCACTTTGCTTGCCGACCATTTAATCATAAAGTGCCGAGGAGAGAGAGTGAGAGACAGAGAGGGAGAGAGAGGAAAATATTAGAAATAAGTTTCAAATAAGAGAGTTATAGAAATGAAATGTGACTCTCCGGTGAGGAGAAAAGCATTGCCAGGTGAAAGTGACTTAGTTGTGCTGTAAAAACTAATAAATATAATAAACATAAGAAAAAATTAAATAAAGATTTAAAAATATTCATTAAAAAATTACTATAATGAAATACAAAATAAATATTTTTTCCAAAAAATTTATAAATTTAACGACTCTTTTTATTTACGTTGAATAGACATACAATTCCTATGTTTACACAGTTCGTAAAAATCGAAAACTTGCAAACTTTCTTCGGGTCTGAGATATCATCCGAACGTTTACTGATTAATTATGCTCAGTTATTTTTAGAATTGGGTTAGCATGATTTGTATCTTTATATGGAGCAGCGCAAAACGATGGAAGCACGTGTTGATGTTGGCTTAATCGATTCGAAAGTTTACATTAATCCAGGATAATGTATCTTGAAATTATTCATATTTTATTGTCTCTTTTAATTAGATTTACAAAACTTGGTCGTTTGATTCGCTATTAATTTTGTGACATTAGACCTAAACAAAAAAAAAGAGATGGAAGTGGAATATTTCCCCTATTAACACTGTATAAGTCTAAAAAAAAAGACAACTTTATGACAACTTTTTGAAGGGGTGATTAAGTGGACTTTGAAAACCAATTATTTTGGAAAATTACTAACAAATGGCAGCACCGCAGCCCTTCTTTGGGCAAGCATTTCTGTTTTTCTGCAGAACCATAAAACTGTCCTTCCAAGCGCAAATGTTCCCTCTCGTTTTCTCTGTTTCCCCTATCAAAGAAAGCATCGTAGCCTCTTCTCTCTTTACATGTCTCGAAATGACGGAGAAAACATCACAACATCAAAAACTTCATTTTAAACTTTTAATGTCTTGGCAAAACCATTAATAACTTTAAAATCGCTCTCGGCCTCGTATCCAATCGACGGTTGTCGCAGTGAAGCTACGCTAACGTATATTTGTTCGAAAATGGTCATTTAAATGAACATAAATACCTTTCGAAATGATCACTTAGCAGTGCTTCAGAACAGTCAGAAACATGTCGGGAGTAAAATATCAAAACGGGATGTCGATCGAATACAGAACATAGTATATATAACATTATATTTGATCTTCAAACTGCTTGCAGTCATCTTTCAAGTCGATAGCAATGAACCTTCGGTAACTACATAGATCGGATGTAATCTAAACATTGATCCGGTAGTTGAAATTTACTTAATTTCCGCGTAGGTGTAATAACTTTGTCCTACTGTTGATCGCAAATACATTGCGCAGATCAGAGATCAATCGGAGAACGTAATTTTGAATTGATTTACCAATGCTCGCCTGCAAGTCTGTTTGCAAATCTCTTTACCTAATAAAAAAACTTTTCCGTATCCCGATTTAAAGGGTATATTACCTTACAACGATTATAGTAATTGCGGTAAATTTTTTTCTGAAATTTTATTTCATAGTAAGCGAAGAGTATTAAAGATTAGCTAGCTTTCTTTGTCAAAATCCATATACTTTAGGTCAGCAATAAACGTGAAACAATTTTACTTTTTGATGCATACAAATAGCGGCCGATTCTAAACTACGATATTATCGTTGCATTTCTCCCAGTGTACATTCGTGAATGAAATGCTTTGGACTATGTGTAAGTATGTTTTTAATTCCTTAAGAACAAGTAATTGCACACCTTTTATATAAGCGGAGAGATGAGATTAAAGAAAAATCACCACCATTACCACCACAATAAATATTTCAGTGTACATTACATGTCCTGTCTACGATATGTATAAAGCATTTTTTGGTTTTTGTTTTATTAATTTATTAAGGAGTTGAATGATGGGTGAGAAATTTGGGCGTTCTTCGAAGAAAAAAAAAAAAAATTTATTTATTTGAAATTTGATATTTTATTACAAGCGTTAATTCAGAGGGTTTACATGGCGGTAAAACAAGATAGCGTTGAAGTGAATTTCTATGAGATTCCGAAAGATTACGATCGACAATAACTTGAAAGTACTTGAAAGCGGATGGGTGTACGATAAGGTATGCATATAATAATGCTAAGCAATGTAAGTAAAAAAAAAGAAAAAAAAAAAAAGGAAAAAACTTTTTATGTTCATCGGTGGAGGGAAAGATATATATTAAGAAATTGAGTTGAATTCGGCCTGAAACCGAGGAAAAGCTCTTCTTAATAATATTGTAGCATTTGTTTGTTCTTTTCAATGCCAAAATATGTTGAAGTAAAAGCTAACGATTGCCCTTAGTGTGATAAATAATTGGTAGACTCTAATCTGGCGTATAATAAAATCTCAAAGAATATCCAGGGCCGCAAGCTACTGCTTTTTATTTAAAGAAAAAGCAATGCACGATAATCGGTAACGAGTTTCACGAGTACAACGAATCCATCCTTGGATAGCATCCCTAACAGCAACTGATGCGATCGAACGCAGTGTTAAACTCAAAGCTGGCGCAATCTGGCAAAACAAATGAAGGAATCATTGGAAGAATTGATCTAAAATACATATCCAACTTATTATCTTTATTCGTGAGATATCGCCCCACGTTTGAAGGGCGCTTTCGTTCCATGCAAAGACATTAAATCATTTTTAAATCATTTCCATTTTTTGGTCTCACCGGCGGCAACCTCGACAATGCTGCCTTGAGATAGATTCACTTGTTAATAATGTCTATCGATTCAGAATGATTTTCTGAATAGATCAAAATCGAGCCATTCATCTGACTGTTGTGTAAGCCAGCCGTTCCAGAGGAAATTTGACAAATTTCATTACCCACTGACAGGTTTTCGCTGGATTTGATTCAATTATTTTTGTGATCATTTTTCATATAACTTTTTATACAGTATTTATTCTTTTACGTAATCTAAAATATCCCTTAATTCGTAATTATGGACGAGATATAAATTTGAAATGCATTTGTTTCCCCATTTTTTATTCCCTACGTCAAGTGCATTGGGTTTTGTATGGAGAAGAACTTGAGATAGAGGCCCATTTTTTATGGTAAGTTTGTCTCTCCGTCTATCTGTTCGTCTTTGTGCCCGTATTGTTTGTATGTCTTGGCTTATGGAAGACGGCTATCGGAAATGACTCGAATCAACCATAATTTTCTATATGAATTGTGAATTGTGTTAAACGAAGTAGTGTAGGGTATTCAATGGTGGACCGAGTTTCGCTATAGTGTTTTCAGTTGGCTTTTTTTTGCAATTTAGAATTTAATTTAAAGCAGTTTTTATTCTTTAAGGAAACATTTTTTGGTTTTTTTTTTTCTTTTTTTTAATTAAATTAAAGAGTTTCTCTAAATTTAACTTAAGTGTATTTTGTTTTATGACAAAACAGTTATGTTTCCATATGATACCTTTTAGTTTATCTCATCTCTTGCGGCGGTCGTTGATATTTGTGTTCCTTCTCTTAATCGTACAAAACAAAACAAAAACGTTTCCTTATCTTCCACTTTAAAGTAAACTCGTAAAAAAGTGTGTTATTCGTTTCATTATTCATTTTCTTCTTTTTCTTCTTCTTCTTCTTCTTTCAGATACTCTCGCTTAAAAAACTAAAGATATTATCAAGTCAAATGACCTTTGACCCCTCCTGTTGTTTATACCCTTATAAAGCCAACGATTGTCATATGGGTTTCTTATTGCATTAACAAAAAGAAAAAAAAAAAAACAACAACAACAACAAAGAAAAAAAAAGAGAACAAAAAAAATAAAAACAAAATAAAAACAACTCCTTAAGGGCTTGCCGTGACTCTCTCACTCTCTCTCTCTCTCTCTCTCTCTCCCTCTAACTGCAACTTGAACGTTTCTTTCGTGAAGTAAGGAAATGGGATTAGAAGAAATGAATAATGGCTTTAGGTAGTCTGGAGGTATGCACGCACGCAGATAGATGAGATAGGTGCCTTATAATATGTCAACCGAGTAGTAGTTTCGCATTCCTGTCATTTCTATTTTGCCCTACCAGCATATATTGAGGCATATATTGAGAATTGACGTTTGTATGCATAGTTGTAGGTTTTCACTGTAGTTCTTTTCTTTCTTTTTTTTTTTTTTTGTTTTTCTTTTTGTTCATTTACTTTCTTTTATTTTCTTCTTTTTGTTATTAACTTCTTTTGTATGAAATATTGCTAAACGTTAGTTTAAAAAATTGACCGCATATTTACTTAATATTATGGCGTCTTTTAACATAAAACTCTATGGAAATGTCAGAGGGACAGACAGACCTCTTCTCTCTTACGCTCGATCAAATTAATGAGAGTTAATAATTTTGCTTTTAAGCAGCTGCAAATTATTTCGTTTCTGTTAAGTGTTGCGATCATTAGCAACAGCTGCCCTGATTACCTTAATCATTTATTCTTGTACGAAAAAAAAAAAAGCTATCAAAACTATATAGCATACCTTTCTTGCAAGACTCTATATAAAAGTTGTAAAACAATTAAATTTTTACTTTAATGCTCTTAACAGGAAATAATATGATGCACAAGCGTACCAATTAAGCGGCAGATCTGACCACGGGTAAGATCTTATTATTTAATTGGCTGAAAAAGCGCGCTAGTTAAACCTACACAAACCTACAAAAACCAGCAAATAAAAGCATTGTAGTCGGGCAAGGCCGACTATTAGTTAACCTATACTACTTCGCTTAATACAATTCTTAATAATAGGGGATTTATTTCTCACGAAAGCCATTGATGTTTTGTGTTTCACATTTGGCAAAATTAATTTTCTTCTCAATGACTTCAGTTTTTGTAATAGGAGTAGAAATAAGTTGCCGTGGTTTGACAAGACAGGGATGGCTCCATCAAAGAATTTTATTAAAATTGCCTGCCATATGTAAAACGTGACATTGTACATTTGTGGACACCCGGTAACTACATAAACTTGAAGTATTAGTGACTCTGTATATCAGCATCATATACTGTTGGTTTTTTCATCCGAAAATGTCGAATTCTGTGCCGAATAAGCGTAATTTGCG